GGGGCGGGGGGAGCCGCGCCGCCCGCCCGGCTGCCGCTGGCCCGGGAATGCGGCAAAGGAGCCGGCCCGGGACAGGGCCGGGACCGCCCAGCGAGGGGAAAGGGCTGCCACCGCCTGCCCCGGAGCCCAAGAGATGGGAATAGAGAAGAGCACGAACGGCCAGCACTAGGCACAGGCAATGTAGGAATAGTTTTCAAATCCCAGTGAGATATGTACGCATCCATGCGCGGACTCGCAACCAGATCAGCCGGGAAGCTTTAGCCTGGCTGGCTGCTGAAGTGAAATGTGCGGGTCGCAGGCAGGCTGGCGTGGCGTTTCACGGCTGTTTGCAGGAAGCCGCCTTGGCCTGAGGCCTGTCCGGCCGGGAGAGGCCGGCTGTCCCCCCGGGGAGCCGCTGGAGCCGTGTTTGCCCCTGGGTGCGCGGAGCCAGGGAGCGGCAGGGGGGCAGGGGATGAGTCCAACAGCGTTTGCTTGTAAATGGCTGTCACAGGTTCACACCCTTCCCCACGAAATTCCCCTGTGTTCGCCTGGGTTCCAGCGCTGCTCCCTGCTGTGCGGTCTCTCGTTGCCTTCGTAAACAGCTTCCCTGCAAAAATTCAGTGGCGTTATTTGCTCCACCCTTTAAAAAGGTGCTGCTTCCTCCACTGCAGGGTTTCTTGGTAAGTGGAAATCATTAAACTAGTTGAAGATCCAGTTCCTGCCAGCTCCAGATAAAATCGTTATTATCAAATTAAGGAAAGGATTTGTTTGTTTTGCTTCAGCTCTAATTCTCCTTTCATTTAGCATGGTGTTATGCATCAGATTGCACTTAAAATTGTAAGCATACTTGCTAACATGTGTTCCATACGTGACACACAGAAATCAAATGACTTCTAAAAATATTTGTTATTCTGACACACAGGGAGTTGCCAGATTAGATAGAGAAGACAGAGATTAGCACCAATGGTGTAAGAATGGATGAGGGGCTAAGTAGAAGACAAAACACTGGATTGAAAGATGAATTACTGTGATTTAAATTTTAGAAGACTTTCTGTATAAAGAGTGAGTTTATTTTACTTGCTAGTAATGAAGTGAGGGAAAAAAGTACAAGTTGGTTGAAGGAAAATGGAAATGGCACAGGATGGAAGTGTGGAGTCATCGTGCAGAAAAAAACTCAGTATCCCTGAATGTTGTGTAAACTACGGTGGGTGAAATTTAGTAGCTGCAATGCTACACAGTGGTCTTGAATCATAACCCTGGCTCACAGATTTTTTTTTCTGATATCAAGAGGAAGTGAAAGAGAAGGAAGAAGAGTGGGTCTGTTGGTGATAACATGTGAATAAGCATTACCAGGCAGGAGCTGCTCACAGAAAAACCCAGGAATAAACCAAGGACATGTCGCTGGAGCTAAAGAGACCCTGGTATGACCTCTGAGACAGGTCTGTTGGCTTAATGAAGCTGAATTACGATGAATTGCAACAGGTGCAGGGGAGACAAGGCCATTAAAGAGCCTCTTTTATAAGAGGAGACTATAAAAGCTTAGTATAGCAAACAGAAGCTTGCATAGCAAACAAATGGTAAGAGGGTGACAGCTTTATTTCTATACACTCCATCAGAGAGGTAAACACCAACAGATTGTATGAGTTACTGAAGCTAAAGAGAACTGATAGCCAATGAAGAATTACATATAACTTTGCTGTGAACAATTTGAGGCAAGATAACAGATGAAGGTTTGGAATGACCCAAGGTATTCCAGTGACTTTGCAATAGTAAAAGTGGAGACATGAATGAGGTACACAGGAGCTTTGTATTTATGTCTGACAGAACACATACTATTTTCCACCTCTTCCTCAGTTTTCACATTGATTTCTGAGCATCTTCTCACTGCCATGACCCCCAGACAAATCTCCAGATTGAGAGCATGTGACATAAAAGTACAGTGTCTTTTAAACTGACTTTAATGGACAGATTTGAGGTTGTAGTTTACAGCCTGGGTAGGAAGACTCAAATTTTTAGATACTGAAATTTCTGTTGTGGGCTCTCAGGCACAGCAGTTTTTCAGAGCTGGTGTTTGTTTGGAAGTCCTTGACATTTAGATAACCTAAAAACAACTGTGGAAAGAAGAAGCATTCGAAGAAAACATTTTAACATTAGACACTTTAATTCAGATC